AGGTTAACCTACAACGTATATGGTTGACCACGAATATCATCTAATGGCTTGAATCCATACGTTTTGAGCACAAATAAGAAAAATTAAGAGGACCTCGTCACCTTGATTCGGTCGACGTCTGTAATTGACAGTAAAAGTAATTTTAACCAACCAAAGTGCAGCGGCTAAGAATATTCCGCAAGTGAACGAAGTGACTTAACGCAACTCCCTTAAGTTTCGAGTTTTCTTAAGTAAATTGGGCAATAGGCCAATGCCTATGCGCTGTTGATAACGTTCTGTGATATATATCAGACACGGAGGCCATAACAACACTGAAGGAAATAGCTCGTGAAGTTTTCGGGCCAAAGTGTGTTATCACTATAAGTCATCAATAAGGTCCAAAAGGACAAAGTATAGTTGGCAAGCCTTGCCGATGGTAGTGGGCGTGTCTAATCGCTCGTCTTCCATTATCATTTCTCCCAGATCCTTGAAGACAGGACAACATCCTTTTGCTTGTGGTCGCGTTGCGCACATTTGGTCTGCAATTTCAATTTTGTCTACGTCGATCAGGGTAGAATAATCTTGCGCACCTTTCAGCTCCGGAAGAAAGTAAAGAATATCTGGCTTCTCAGAAGGGGATTCCAGATTGGCAGATGGTCTAATTATATGAACATTCCACTCCAGGACAACTCTGTGTAGCTCTACTTGCATCAAATCCATGAAACAGAATTTTAAGCATTCTCGATGTATAACGTTCTTATCATTGTACAAACCAGAATCTCTTAAATTCTTAAAATACTCTATCCACCAGTCTGCATATCCCTGTCTCAAACGTCCCCACCATACTTCTATTCTTTGATTTGAAGTTGATTTTCCGTAAATCAACTCTATTCTCCCGAAAAATCATCCTCAGAGGACCTGCGAAAGAATCGTTGAATAGCTGCCACGTTCACCATCGCAGTTCCCGTCTCCCAGAATAATGCGTACAGTAGCTCCTAACTGCCTAACACAGTCAAGGTAATACTGAACTACTATTTTGGGGACGTTATTTGAAGATGCTACCTCAAGCCATAAAATTCTTCTATTGAAAGGTTTCAATTTGTCGTAATCGTCTATAGACCCTTCTTCGAAGTCTATGCCTTGATCGGTGTTCCACTCCTTCAGGGTCAAAGACCTTCAATACATGCCGAACAACGTCTCTCGTAGTAACAAGTCCGTAATGATTCACGAGTCTCTGGTGCATTGCTCTGTACCCAAGAAGACTACCGCTTCCCCTTAATTCCCCTTGCACTACCTGTACTATTTCATCTAGGTTGCTTTGAAAGCGACGTCTTCTACATCCCAGCCTCCTTAGAATCCTTTTCAAATGTCTCAGACTAAAACATAAACCATGCACACTTGCAAGGAACACAGTTTCTTGAGCAGCAAATCCAAGGTTAATGTAGGTTTCAATTAGTTTGTCTTGAGCAAGAGCGTTACCTCTGGTTGCAGGCAAATAATGCGGAAGCATTCCCCTTGAAGTTGTGAAAATGGCTGCTAAAAGGAATATAGAGCAAATCTTCATAGCTACAGCGACTGTCGAACTTGTACGGGAGGAAAAAAACCAGAACTCCTTGAAGAGGAAGTTCGTGTATAAGACGTGCACAAGTGGTGCGCCTGCGATTTGTATTATGCTGATAGTGAAAATCGCACTAAAAGTGGCACGAAAATAGAAAAGATGTGTGTCCCTTATAGGGCTCCGTAGTTCTGTTTCCTAACAACGCTAGTGTAAAAACAACAACACCAAACATGCTGACACTTTTCACACTTAAGCAGCCTCACGTCAACAGTGTAAGAGAATAAATAAAAAGACCATGATGGTGACTGATACTGAGTACGCCTGTACACAATATTAAATGATGACCTATTAAGAACTGCATTTAAAGATGCATCAAACTGCTCAGAGCTGCTAAAATGTGGAGGTAAATTCCATTTTACAAGTTGATGCAGAGATGTCTGAGATTTCTTCAACACTAAACTTTATACAACCTGGGCGAAAAGCCACTGTTGCCAATTTACATTCAGTATCCATACTCCTGCAAAAAAAGGTCTCCTAGTACATGTATAGGTCTCTCTAGTCCTTGCAACCACCGCACCTCCTGCAGCCATAGGTCTCCTAGTTCACGTACAGGTCTCTACTCTTTCCAACCATGGCAGCCCCTACAACCATAAGAGTCCCAGTACCCATATAAGTCTCACCATGTCCCCAACCACTGCAACCCTGCAATGGTGGGTCTCCAAGTATGTGTATAAGTCTCACCATGCCTCATAACCATAGTTCTCCCAGTAAAAAGGAATATTGCGTATTTTTTAGTTTTCAACTATCATAATGTCATGCCTTTTTATGGTGTTAGTCCCTTCACTTTTCCAATCACTAATTCATCAGCAAAAGCGTTATGACAGGCAAAAGGTGTAAGGAAGTGAATTGATACACAAGGCATAAATGAGGCTCTGCATCATGAACATGCGAAAAGTAAATATGTAGCTTAACAAAAACAAAACAAAAATAAAATTTGACATGCTGACTAAAAATAATCCTTAGATACTCCTGTAGGTTGACGAATGTATAGTTTAAATGCGTCGGATTTCCAACGGCCAAGGTGATGAATTTGAGCATCCGATAAGCCTTTTTCAGCTGCTAGAGAGGCGGCGCCAATCCGGAAAGAGTGAGATTTGTATTTAGTTGAATCAAGGCCACAAAAATTCAAGGCTTGTTGCAGTTGCTGCGTAAACTGGCTAGTTTTAACTGGAGATCCGTCAGCAAAGCAAAACAAGGGACCCGGGGTTGCACCCCTCGTAGAGGAATAGCGTTGTAAATAAGCCACTGGGCAAAGCGTAAATCCCTCAGCGCGTTCCAAAAACACGGAACAGGGGCGCCTGGTGGTGTTGTGTTTAAAGTCTTTTATGACAATGGTCGCCGAGGTCACGACATTGTTCGAAAATTGAAAATTGAGGTCTTGCACGTGTACTAGGGATTTCAAATTCGCGCCCTTGACCGTGAGTTCACCCACACGAAAAAGGCCATAGAAGGCTACTAAAAACATGGTTTGATATAACAATCTTTGAAAAGCCGATGAATTGGTGTGATTTAAGGCCAGCACTAAGTGCTGCAACACGCTGCGTGTTATGGGAAGCCGAACATCCGGTGAGAAGTGAAGCTTACTGTGAGCCGTTAAAAGCTTCTGCACTAAAAAATTTTTGGTGGGATCCGGGAAATTACCAAGTTTGTGGACGTAACTTAACGCGGAGACGTATGTCGAGATTGTGGAGGATGCAAACTTCTTCGCTGAAAGATAAGATATAAACAACGCTAAATTGTTGACGGAGACGGAAAGCAACGAGCGGCGAGAATCGCAAAATACAGAGGAAAACTCGACATATGTCTTCCACGCTCGTTCGTAAGTCCTACGTGATCCTTTCGTAATGGCTGAGTGCAGAAGCTCGGTCAAGTGATGTGCCAGTTGTTGGGTAGTAGGCCCCCCGGAACCGGCGTCGGTTGTGGGTCTGCGGAAGGTGCTAGTAATCTGAATTTCTCTACCTGTAGGCGAGATAAAGCATCGCTTTCGCGGTTAATGCAACCAGCGATATGCTTAGCATGAAACAAAATATTGTATTTGAGTGTAGAAAGAACAAAGTGCCTGCGTAGAACCATGATTGTACGGTCCTTAGAAGTTTGCTTATTGATTATTTCAACCACTGCTTGGTTATCCGAAAAGAAAACAATACATTTGTTGCGCATAAGCGGTCCCCAAATCTCGCTTGCCAGGACAATACGAAAGAACTCTAAGATAGTGATGTTAAATGTTTTCCAAACGGCAGGCCATTCCCCGAAAAACCACTGCTTTCCAAATATTGCGGCATAACCAACAGAACCCGCTGCGTCCGTAAATAATTTGAGGGTTTTGGAAGTGTACCGGCGTGAGCCGAGGAAAAAGGATTTGCCGTTATACGATCGCAAAAAATTGAGCCAAACTTGTAGATCATATTTACTTTCCTTTGTTAATCTAACGTGATGGGTAGGTTTCCGGACGCCTCTTGTCAAGTCAATTAAACGGCGGAGAAAAGCGCGTCCGGGCACCACAACACAGCAGGCAAAATTGAGAAGCCCTATTAATGACTGCAGCTCTTTTAAAGTAACGCTTTTACGCGAACAAAAGTAGCTCAACTGGGATAGGCATTTGTCAAGTTTTTCCTCAGGAAGGCAAGCCTCCATCAATTCGGTATCTAACGTGATGCCTGCAAATTGTAAAGCTCTGTCAGGCCCCATAGTATTTCCGATGGCGATCGGAATGCCTATACGTTGGCAAACAGTAAGAAAATTATTGAGGTCTCCCTGACATTTTTCTTTAGAGGGCGCAATAAATAAAAAGTCGTCTAAAATGTGTATGACCGCTGACGCGTTTAGTTTGTTCATAGCGACCCATTCTAACGCAGTGGTGAAGGTTTCAAATATATTACACGACGAGGAGCACCCCATGGGAAGGCATTTGTCAAAGTAGAACTTTCCCTGCCATTCCATGCCGAGCAACGGAAAATCGTTGGGGGATACGGGAATAATTCGGAAAGCTGATTTAATGTCTGTTTTCGCCAGAAAACAGCCCTTCCCTAACGATTTAATAAGACGAATGGCATCATCAATGGTTGCATATCTCATAGTGGCTAGCTCTTTAGGGATACCATCATTAACTGATGACCCCGCCGGGTAGGAGAGATGGTGAATTAACCTGAATTCTCCTGGAGACTTTTTGGGAATAATGCCCAGGGGGGATACCCTAAAAGGGTCGAAAGGTGGTACGTCGAATGGACCTACAATTCTGCCTGCTGTGAGCTCCTTAGACAACTTTTCAGTCACGCTAGTCGGATTGTCCTTGGTTCTTTTAAGATTTTGGGATCGCATTGCAATTAAAGAACCTCAATATCGTATTGAGAAACCATGAACAAAGCCTTGTATAAGATAGTTGGAAATGGAGTTATTATAACCCCTAAGGTAAGACGCGAGTTGGACGGGCTTTACCGGGGTTGGCCCGTGACTCAACAGAAGCTCGTCCCTGACTGTCACTCCCAGAGGGCAGGCTTGGCGCTGGACGGTTGTTTGTGTTAGATCTGGTAGCGGCACATTGGGTCGCTGGGTGGACAGATCCACATTTAAAGCAGGAGTGTTTGAAATTGCATCCCCTGCAGAATTGTCCGGCATGAAACAGCCAACACACTCCCTTGGGAAAAGACTGAAAGGGACGCTGGTTGGGCCGACGGGTTCGAAAATCATTGTTAGAGTTTGGCCGAGAGGTGGTAAGGGAGCTATGTAAGGCCTGATGCCACAATTCCCAAGCTACGTTGTCCCAAGGGTATCTATCCGGTTTTGATTGACGAAGAAATCGGAATTGTTTGTCATAATAACGCCAATTACCTTGCTTTGCTGCGATGTCCCGAACCACCTCACAATACTTCATTAGGGAGATTATCGCACTAGGAGTCTTAATTGTATAAAGAGCTACGAAGACATTAAACACGGTCAGCCATTGGTCGATAGTTAAGCTACGCCGCTTTGGTTTAACGTGCTCAAGGCAAAGACTAGGGTGATCGTGATCATCCGTGACAGATATACGATACTTTGACTGGTCAGGGGACACCGTGAGGAGTGACCCAAAATCTACATATTCGTTCGCCCAAATCTTTGCCTTGACAAGATCTGAGACCCGAGATTCGAGGTCGAAAGTGACGCTCGAAAACGTTTTTTCTGGTTTCTCGGTTGGAAAAGTTAGCCTACCAGCAGCCACGGTGTTCGTCAATGCCTCGATTTCCTTTGATGCGGCGTCCTCAACGACGGTGGGCTGAACCGTGGGCTGGGTGTTCGTTCCTGAATTCCTTTCGGCGGGAGCAAGGTTTGTTTGGACGATGCCGACTGACTGCAACGCGCCCGAGATAGCTTGTGAAATTATTGCCCCAAGCTCGGTGGGGCTTAACTGCGAGGAGAACTCAGGTGGCTGTGCTGAGCTCTCCGGCAGGGCCGTGGAAATAGGGCGACTTTCTGCCCGGCGTTGATTTGGAGCGACTGCAGAGGCGGGACTTTTTGCTGCCTGGCGCTTTGAGGCTCGTTTAGGAGGCATTCTTATGAAAAATGTACACTATATTACTCCCACAAAAATTAAAAATATTGTGATACCCTCAAACTTAGTGGGTGTGTTCCTTGGTTTTTGGTGGGCTTTCATTGAGCCCATGGCGATTGTAAATTGAAACGGAAACGCGTCTAAGAGACAAAAAAGATATCCGAGACATTCCACAGTGGCGTAGGAGAGTTGGCCTATACTCCAACGAGACTCCAAGTAAAAAATGGAAGCCAAAGAATGTCAAGTGCAAATCAAGAGCAGGCAACATAATGACAAAAAATAATCCGAGACATTGTAAAAGGGACATTTGTCCTATAATGGCTCGAGTGAGTTGGGCACACTAATGTAGTAAACAATAGCCGCCAGGAGAGTAACGCACCAAAATAGCCATAAATGTCAAGTACAAAACATGCTACAAGAAAGCATTTAAAATGCATGATGACATATGATATAGCCTGCAAAGTTGTAAATGTACTTGTGACACAGCATCTCATAAATGTATTATAACATCGCCCTTTAAATATCGAACTGGCCAGTACAGGGCACAGCATTGACTAAACTGTGGACGCACCCACTAACTTTAAGGCCTGCAAAACCGCCCCTCGAATGCTGCGCATAAATTTATAGTTGCCTAAATTGTTAAGATGGACTCCATCGGGTAAGTAGAGTTCGCTTTTGGATTTCCAGAAATCTCTATGCCGCCAGTAATAACAAAAAGGACAACCTTAAGATATTGGTGAAGCTTGCCTACCTTACAATTATACTCGACCGAGTTCGGTGTATGCCTACGGAGAACTTGTCCCATGACGACAAATTGAACAGAGTCAATCTTGTACAGTTCCCGAAATAAACTTTCCAGTTCTGAACCCTCTGTCTGCGGCGAGAGCTCCGCCAGATCGTTGGAGCCGAGCTCCAAAATAATTACATCTGGGACCAGCTGGCGCACCACATTAAAGTCGAATTTACGAAATTTTGTTATCGTGCGGCCGCCAACTCCATGAAAATAAATATCTGCCATACCACTAAGGCTGCTAAAAGGCTGCATGTGCCTCTTTTTCTGCATAAACACCTTAAGACGACGAACGAAGGAGTGCCCTATTATTAAGATGCGCTGTTTAGCCATGAGGTTAAAGAAAATTTTGGAAAATTAGCGGGCGCTAAGGAAAGACAAAAAGAGTCCTCAGCTAGGGCACTCCAACAAGACAGGGAAAAAAAAATGAAAAGCTACCTGACTTCAAAAAACAAACAGGGGTGGGGGAAAAATAGCACTTGCCTGATTGTTTGTTGGCTTCTTCCTTCGGAGAAAGAAATAAGTTCACTATTGAAAAGCTAAACAGCTCACGATCGGCGTTGGCAGAAAAAAGGGGCAAGCGATAGCGAAGCTCACGAATTTATAGCCCGCTCTGTGTGTGGTGCCTAGCCAGCTATCGTTAACGTTATCTTGACTATCACCTCTGCAGCTTGCACTGAAAGATAAGATAATGCCCGCCTCATCATAAAACCTATTATCGCGCCAAGTCAATAATGGGTCATTTAACAGCATTTTCCAGGAAAAGGCTATCAAAGCGAAAAAACCTGTTATAAATTTTCTCATGCTGCTAAGCGTACGCAATGCGGAAGCCAATTATGTCAATAAAAACAAATATTTTAACGCTAGTTTAGAGGAAGGTCTGAGGAAGTTATTACGAAGCCAGTGCTGGTTCACAGTCTGCTAGGATATTTCCGGTGTAGAAAAACTCATTATTGATAAATATAAGCTTTTCTGTCAACCACCTTTTGTGATCGCAAGAACTATCTCTTCCTGTTCTTTCACCAGACTTATCTTTGAATTTCACGCTTGTTGGCTTTCCAATATCGACTTCTCTCCCTTGCTTTTCAGAGCATTTATTTCTTGCTGGTGCGTGTCCAGTGTCTGTTGAGTAGTTCTTTTGAAGTCCCCGTGGGTTTTGGCATCTTGCAAATCATTGACAGCGTTCCAAGTAGCCTCTAACATCTTTTCCACGGTTTTCATGCCTCTTATTTCATCTTTTATTTCTGTGCTGAGACAAGATATTTCTGCCAAAGAAGTTTTCCATCCTGTCCTCAAAACCTGATAGTTTATCCATTATTTGTAAGAGACGAGTGGTTGTAAGCCTCCACTCCGTCACTCGGCACTTGATTTCTTTTCAGAGATGGCAGTGATTGACACAAGGAACTTGAAGATCTCCCGTCTGTAGAGTCTCTTTGACATGCTCAAGTGATGGTTGCATTTTGGCCTACTGGTCGATGTTTCTTACAGAGCACAAAAAAGACATCTGTCTTCCTTAACCTCGCAAGCAGGCCTCCGAAAGGAAGAATTAACTCCTAATATACACTTAAAAATGATTGAACAAGAACTCTCTAAATAGTCAGCATAACTCTTTTTCATCAAGGCCTGAAGCACTGCGGACATCTAAAAGAATATAAGGATACTCATTTGTTCCACGAAGACTAACCGCACTACTAGTTGCTGATGGTACTGGAGGTGGAGACTCTAATGCCATAAGAGCTGGGGCAGGATGGAGAGTTTGCCCAATGTCCTCTCGGAATTAAAGCACTTGTCTGTGGGCTGCAGATGTCTGTGATGAAAGGCTGCTGACAAAAGGACTGAAAACTGAATTGCTCTGAACAAAGAGAGTAAAAGGACCAAAAGGAGGCCTCTCTTGTGAAGATCTGAAACGAGCTTGAGCAGTACTCCTCGATTGCATTTTTCAGCCACAAAGCTTTGAAAGGGCCCTCCGCTCAGTAGAACGTAGCTTCTTTTCATCCTCTGAGTCATCAGCAAGTTTTTCAGAGTCATATTCTTCCACAGCTATCCAACCAGCAGGATTTTTATCACCAAACAAATGACCTTGCTTCGTTTGTTCAACTGCACCTTTAGGTTTTTCTAACTACTTATTTATTACTGCAACAAGATTACCTTCCAAGAGCACGGAACAGGCCATGTTAACACGTTGTAAAAGGCCAGAATTGAACTCAAACTGAACTTTATTGCCTTTTAACTGAAAACTGTTTGCCACTTTTGTCTCGCTTTTTAGCTCCTTGAACTGGAAAGTTGTCGTGATCTCCTCATCAAAACCACATTTATACTAGGAAAACTTCTAATCCAGCATCAAATCGAAGAGACAATAAGTCAGCTGGACAATCTCTGTGCTGGAGAGATTAGGCTCTACGTTCTCAACTACGAGGATTCGTGGCTTACATCATCCATAACAAATAAAGTGAGATGTGCAAGTTACTAAGAGAGATGCCATCGAGTTACCTTGTCCTGTAGTACTACCACGAATCGTCAGATTTTTTTTTTAAACCTACCCCCCACCCCTCCAAAAAAATTCTTTTTAGCTCCTACTTAAAACAACCCACTGAAAAAATCCCAGAATCGAAAATTTCAAACCCCAAAATATCCTTCGATCATCACTTGAAATCCGGGGTACCCATTCAAGTTGTATTGATGTATTTTTACGCTGTGTGCTGCGAAGCTAGAACACCAACAGAACCATAAATATTTCTGAATCAGCCCGAGGTCTATTGTTCTGATTTTCAGTTTTGACCTTAAAATGGCGATTTATTACAGTTATGGAAGGGTTACCTCATACATAAAAGTTATCACTGAATAACAATTCTCCCCCTGTATTGTTTATGTTTAAATGAATGAGGTGGAATTCACAGAACGATATTTGTGGATCAAATCACTTAGACTTTCCGCATCTCCTTTGTGAACTGCAAAACAGTAATTCTCCGAAAAACGAACATTGTAAAAATTTCCTTGAAGAAATGCAATCTCTTTTTCCTTTACTTCGTCCATAGAGGAATTCATAATTGTCGCTTGCAAGATCTTGAGAACGGCAGACTTCCTACCACATTTATTTTTAGTTTCCATCCATGTATAGGATGGCCTTTGTTTAATGAGACTTACTTTTGTAGAAGCAACGTGCAACAACTTGAAGATAACAGTGTAGTGCTGGCTAGCAAAACTATTGAAACCTCGATCTTTAATGTTAATGGCAACAGGTTACTGGGCCCGTTGATAATAGGGACTTTCGAAAGACAGGCCCCTGACCTCTAAAAACCATACTCCTTTACAGACCTGGCCTTTAGGCAGAAATTATGTCATCATTACTTACATTAGAGCGCAAACAAAAATTCTTCAAATGTATTTTAAATTTGCAGATTTCATTTTGTTCTTATTCATTTGGAATTGAAACGATGACTACGTTTATACGCTCCCGTAATTCCCAAGAAAACCATACCCAGTTCCAGATCAAAATAGGCAAAGTGTATGCCCGTTTTCAGACCAAAACGACCCAAAGGAAGAAGGATGGGAGGGGGGAACTAGCTGATGTTTAATAGTACCACCCAGTTTATAGTGCATCCATCTGACCAAAATGTCGTTTCCCTTTTTGGTCAGATGGATGTTATCGTCCCGATACATGTTCCTATTTCCCAGGGAAGGTGGTAAGTCATGGTAAAAAACTCGTTCTGGAAAATATTCGTGAACCTGAAAATAAATATGCGTTAGTAACTTGTACTACAACAACATAAGCGTTATTTTCATGACTATAATTATGTATTTACAGTATTGCAAAAACTTTAACGTAAAGTTACAGTTTATAACAATGATAATGCAATGCAATGATTACTACAGTCAATCAAGTGTCATCAGCATGATTTGATAACAAATTAGTGTGTAAATCATTACATAATGAGACAAATTTCAACAAATGTGAATTTACGGAAAAATTCTGTGAATTCATCAATTTAGTTATTAATTCTGTGTAAGATAGCTGATTAAAGTCGGCAAAATTTTGTTGGATTTGATTGTAGAATTTCTCCCTTGAGGTTGAATATTTTGGACAATGGAAGAGAAAATGAAATTCGTCTTCAATTATACCAGAGTTACAAATAGGTCAGAATCTATCCTTGCATCATGATCGAACTGTGGTAAAATGGGAAACACATGAATGATAGCAGTTGGGCATTTTTGATAAATTACAGTTAATATTTTGATGATCGTGGCAGATATAACAGAAGGAGATGTACTTGCCAGATTGTTTGTTCCGCATAGTAGAGAAATATTTGAAACAGATTTGGGGAAGTTCATACTTTCCACCCTGTACAGTATTGCCTCCACAGTGTCACCAGAAATGCCAGCATTTAACACTGTGGAAATGGGGAAGTGATCATCGTACTTAATAGGTGCAAACCTTTGGATATTTTTCATTATTGAATCTCCAATTAGAATCGCAGTTAATCCTTCCTGGTTGGAATTGATCTCTTCTATCTCTTGTTTTTTTGCTTTTCTAAACTTCGGAGCCAGTGTTTCTGCTCTGTACTTAGATATTTAAGAGGACAAGTTGTGATTAAAACAACAAAGAACGGGTGCTGGAGGAGAAATGGAATTTGAAAAAAGTAGATGTGAATAGTCTGTTGACATAATCACAAATGTGAACGTAGAGATTGAATGGCCTGGATATTTATACCTTAAGATACCCATGGGATCAGTGAAACAATGTGTACTATGTATATTATTTGTTAAGTGCTAGCTCAATTTATGAACTACTATTAAAACTTTAATTAATTTATACGTACACTCACTATA